GAGAACATATCAAAGTTTGTTAACGAGATGCCGCTCACAATGTTAGAAGTAGGGCAAAAATATAAGGGCTCTTCACTGCCAAGTATTTGCTGACAGTGAAACTGCAAATACGTCCAGTGGCGAAACTATTTCACGGGTAGATTAGGTTAACTGTGTTAGTAAATATCACTCGAATGCAAAATAGAGCAAGCAATTCAGTCCTCGGTCCCTCTCCGGACAGTTTTTTTTGAATTTGTTGTCGACAAAAGAGAAATTTCAAATGGTTTTAGGACAAACATGTAATTTAAGGTGCAGGCCTATAACACCTCAAATTAGGAGACTATTTGTTTTTGGATAATTTATTCTTTAGGGCAAGTAGTACTAGGAATGGGTGTAAGGCTTTTTAAAGCTGTCCATGTCAGTAAGATCAATCTGAATTTTCTTTCCGAATGTACGATATCGATATGCTATTTTTTGTTATCAAGATGCGTAGAAACTTACGAAATCAAAGCAAATGCTGCATGCCATGCGATTAACACGTATTATCAAATATCCTCCCCCCATGACAAAATGCGATATTTTTTCAGGTTATTCTGAATAACTTATCCTATTCTTCCTTGTGGAAAATCATACGCTGATTACTATTCACAAAACGTTGACCTTCCGGTGGCAGGCTTAGTTATACATAACAAGAACAATGCGAAAAGACTATTTAAGACTGAAATTAAAATAAAAATAATCATCAACTTTGCGCAAGTTTCTTGTTTCAGAAACTGGTGGACTATCTTAAAATACACATTAATCGCTTCACGGAATGCTGTTAGGGTAATTCGAAATATATATACATGTATATAATGGGCAGTACTTGAGATAATATAAAGCATACTTGACACGAAAATGTAGAAAAACAGTATTTATATGAAATGTTATGTATAGTCAATACAACTGGGTCATACTTACGAATAACCACACATGTAAGAACACGTTTTTCTATATATTTGCAAAAAATAAATGGCGAACTCCCTAACCGTCTGCTTACTCTTCTCTTTATGCAACTTACAAAAGCCTGACGAATGGTCAAATATATCTTTAGCCGTCATCATAAAATGCTTGTTCCTCCTCCTATTATGTGAAAAATTCCAACGACATGTGATGTGTAAAAACTGGAAAACCTCCGATCATCTGATATTTTTTTGTATCATTCTTAACTATTGTAGTTTAATCTTTATCAAAATTCTCAAAGATAGCTCAGTTATTTGTCACAGCAGTAATAACATTGACGAGTTGGAATGTAGTTCAGTGAAAATTCATATCAATGAACTGACGGGAAATCCAAGTTTTTGTTAAAGACAGAAAATCCCAAATGCTTAAATGTACGTTTCGATTATATATATTTATATATTGTATGCATGGATTTGAATATGATTTCAAAGTGCAACGTTTCGCGAATATGCAAAAGCCAATTTCCAAATGTTCAACTAAAATGATCAAATGCAATTTTCAAAGTAAACATACGAATAGAAATAAAGAACATACAGGGAATGGCAATCTGTATCATCCATGTCACATATGTCTTAGTTTTATATTACTAGTATGTTAACAGGATGGAAATGAATAAATAGCAAACCTTTAAATAGCATTTTTGCTCGGCTCTTCTCTCGAGCTTTATATTTGTTCATAACATAAGTTTAATCCATTATTCTAACAAGTAACAAAAAATAATGAATTTGATAATCATATTTGATCAATCTGCGCAATATGCATTTACTTGAGCATAGCCCGGTAGTTTGTGGTTTTCACGAGCCATTATGTAGTTTTATTAATTTGCGCATGCCAATGTGTATTTTTAATCATGTTCGTGGGATAGAGTTTTCAAGCGATTGTCTGTCAAAGTCTTTTTTCCTGATAAGCTTGTTAAACATAACTCTTGCACTCAGTTGAATAATCTAACTACCTTGAAGCTAACAGAGAAGCAATTGCTGAAACTTATTGTCTTTTCCACGAAAGACCGAATTTAAAAGTGAACGCCTATTTTTCCCGACTGGACATTTAATTCAAAGAATTCGAATAGCGCCATTTAACCGCTAGTGCGTTTTGTTTACTGCAAATCAGTAAATAAAAATTTCTTTGCTAAAAAATGCAAATAAAACACGAATATTTGCAAGTTACATAATGAAATAATCAACTAAATTGCGCAGTCTGCGGATCCGTCAGCGATCTCCTGAGAACAGATTTAATATACTTTTGCGGAAAACGTCACTCAAATGTATCATTTGCTTTCGCAGCCGCCTTTTTTAATAAGTAAATAAACACCATTATTGTGCGAGCACAACAATTTTAGCCCTGACGTCTCAACATTCTCTCCTGATTAGGTCATGATGAAGATATCGTACACAACGTAACTGTGGACGTTGACAATGAACAAACAACTCTACGGTTCATTGAGAATGCTGACGGTGAAAATGCTTCTGTAAGTATGTAGTCTTTAGATGTAAACAAATTTAAAATGCATTTCGTGTTAACTGAATCCAAGAAGCAGTTTTTTGTTGACATTTATGTTTTGTGTACAATTTTAATTATTACTTTCTACGTCCCATTGTGTCAAATGATGTTTATTTTAGCTCCCTTCTCAAATATGACTGTGATTAGCCAGTGATTGTTTATTCTATTGCGCACAATATCCTAGATTCTCAGGTATGTTGCAAACTCACGTGAACTACCTGCATACCTCGGAATTGTGGGAGTGTAACTATCGTCTTGCGATTTTTCCGCTACATGTCATTAAGTAAGCTTTATTATTATGTATATAAGAAAAATTCATGCACACTGAACAACGTCATAAATTGGCACTTTCGCAAAAGTAGATGGGGCCCGAGAGAAATGTGCAACACTTTATCTTATATGAGAGCGTTTTACCAAATTTTATCTATAATGAGGTATTCATTAAAACCGTTGATACCAGGAAAATTATTTAAAAATAAGCTTTGCTCGGTCGCCTGCTAAATACCCGTAAAAATGTGAAACATTCATGGCGCTTGATACAAATCGGACACATGTTTGTAGGTGGGCATACTGAAGTGGCAATTACCTGCCTCAAACGCATTATTACGTTACAAAGCATTACCAATATAATGCTGTTAGATTCCACATCACGCGTCGTAATCCAAAGATAGAATTTTCTCGATGTCCCAGTTTAATAGGCCTTTTAGCCACTTGCAGATTTAGAACGCCCTTCTAATTTCAAATGTATTTTACAGAGAAGATACAAAAACGGTTTATGAAACATGCAGCGTAATATGTATTCCTTGCAAAATTTGATTACCTGATAATGCCATTTTCTTAATGCCAAAAATGTGGGGTCTTCCTAACACCAAACGTTTAGAGCCAAAATTACTCAAAACGTATATTCATCAATCTGATCTTTCAGATACGTTTCAGGAGACATGTTTTGAGCCTGTGACAGTGCATTAATCAATAAGCAGTCAAAAAAGGGAATGAAAAAGGGGATCGAGAAGGGGTATCGTCCACGATTAGGTCACATCTGCACCGTCTCCCTCCCCATGGTATACCAGCATATTAACGGAAAAACGTCACGACCGTAAACTGGGTCGCAGGTGCATAGCATGTGATATCAGACGGGCGAATGACGTAATTTCGACATCCAGACCACAAGCAGCTTGTCACTCCTTGTTCCCTCTGAAAGTGCAGTTCGTCCTCGCAGATTTATTAACTGAATCAGCGTCTTCTCTGACCTGTATACTAGCAGGTCACGATGTCTAATAGAACGTACCCAATAACTTACATGAGTCCAGATTTCTCTTTCTTCCGTTTAATTTTCCGTATGCAGACGGTCGGATGATGGGCGATACTCACGCCACACACCGTTACAACTTGTTTTGTCGATTGTAGGGCAGACAGTGCAACATTTTTGATTCTTTGTTCTTCTTAGTGGTGTTCGCAGGCAGCAGCGGGTTGAGTTCTGGCGGACGACCATCCCTTACCAATTTGTCCTAGAGATGCGCTTATTTGTTCTTTACAACATATAATGTGGTAATCCTGAATTGAAGCGCTACTACAAATCGGATTCAACATGTTTCTGGAATTTAAAAAAAATTCGACCAAAAGATACTTCTTTTAATGTAAAAGCTACAATAGATTCCCTATCTCATGAAATTTCACCCGGAATTCTGAAATGAGTTTCTGATTGGAAGATATTAATTAGGGATGGTTATAATAGACACGATCATATAGTCTAACTTTCACATATTTTGGGCACTTCAGGATGCCGGCTTTTTAAAGTGCTCCTTCCTAACCGCCAAAAAGCATATGGTATAAAAAGTAACTACTTAAGTAGCAAGCCTTTTTGTCATTGATTTTGACTGCCTTTATAGATTCAAATATATTTTTTG